CCTCAAATCCAGCGAACGATCTGTACGACTCATGCGTGGATGACAAATCAAATCCGACTATCTTTGTTGTGTTTGATACCGATCAGTTCTACCCAGAGTACGTCATAAAGTATTCGTCCCAAACAACCTCGGAGCATTATAGAGCACCCGGACAACCAAAACCAGCGCCCTTATCAAAACCTCCAGGATCTCAAACGTACCTGCTTCCCCAAAGATCGAGTAATAATCTTCACGGAACAGCACCCAACACAAGCAAAACGGCTGTAAGAAGTGGTTATTCCACAAGCACGTCTGGTACGGGGCCTGCTGCTAGAAACGCACCGAGAAGCGTAAACAGTCTTGGAACAGCGTCCAAGCCAAGTGGATCTGCTGCCAGTAGTGAGCATTCAAAAGTGCCCCAAACACATTCTGTTTCTTATAACTCTTCGAAACCGACAACGCCCATGCCGAAGCCTCCAAGTACTCAAACATATCCGCAAGGAATTGTGAAGCACCCGCCTAGTAGCTCAAATAATCCCGTGTCCACCCAGGCGATTGTTTATCCTGCACAATTTAAGTCTTCAACCTCAGCTGTCTCTAATTCAGGACTTGTTAATGCAAACACGAGAACGAGCACAACGCTCAATCCAAGCGGATCTGCTGCACAAAGTGGGTATCCAACAATGTCCCAAGCACCGTCTGCCGCTAATGGCAGTTCACCACAGCCTAGAAAAACAACCCGTACGAGGTCTCCAAACCCTCAAACCCATCCTAAAGGAATTCTGAAGCATCAACCAAGCCCGAGTACTTTTCCTATACAAATTGGTTATACAGCTTCAACTGCCTCTAGTTCAGGTCTTACCAGGGAAAACCCGATAAGAAGTTCAAATGATCTTCGTACAGCGTCCAATCCAAGCGGATCTTTTGCACGAAGTGGTTGTTCTTCAAACGTGCGGTCTTGTACGAGTAGTCGTGGTTTTCAGACAGCAACCAATTCAAACTTACGCCGCAAGAAAAAGAAAAAGTGTGTGCTGCAATGACTGTTGGAGGTTAGAAAAAGTAAAAGCGTACACACTGTACGAAAACAAGTGTAAGTTTTTCATATGATGCTTTACTGTAAGGTTTTTTGCCATTTTAATTGTACTTGTAATCGGATAGAAAAAATATTGTTAAATCAGTTTAGTTCAATAGTTCTCGTTGACAAAAATTGATCACATGATTTGAGTAATTTTACCCTCAAGTTTTCTTGATTAACTTGACTGATGTCTCCACGATGTAGCTATCGTACTTTAAGAAAGACGGGAGGTAAATCCTAATAAAGCCGGGACGGTTTTAATTCCTGGTTACGCGTTTCCTGGTTGTGACCATTTTGAGGTTTTGCGTTTCAATGATAATCATCCTGCGCCCGTGTTTGTCAAAACGAAGACGTCCATACTCGGATTGTGACTAACTTTGTATGAACTATGCATCAAGGGCGTAACTAAGGGGGGCTCCCGGGGTGCCCGTGACCCCCCCTTTTGAAAGCCTTTTTTAAACAAACAACCTACAACAGGTGACGAAAACGCTATGACAGTCATGACAATCTGGTGAGTACCCTCACTTTGATACAGTGTGGCCCCCTTTTGAAAATTCCTGGTTACGCCCCTGTGTATGCTCGTATAACAATATTAATAGTAGTTGATATATCATTAGTAGCGCATATATTAGTTACTTGTATTGTTTGTTGGAGCTGGCGCACATTAGGAGCTACTAGGGGACATGTCGTGGGGACGTTTTTGGAAAAAGTTCTGTTGCTGGCACAACTTTTAGTCCCCTCAACATGTTGCATGAAATTCAACTGGTTTAAATTCGTGCGTCA